TGATAACATTCTTGTTTTATTAATATGTTTGCAGAAATGTATCATCATGCGTAAATTTATAATATTCAGCATATCTACAGGATGATGTATTAAGTACATTGTCATACAAATAAGTATTTTCCAAGTTTACTAAATCATTGACAATTGTGTATGCATTTATATACATTTATATATACATGTACGTGTATATTTATATTATTATTGTGACCAATTCTGATTATAATACATAATTTTTAATGATTTTTTATGTATAACAACAAGTAAATAAATAATACAATGTAACATGAAAAAAAACAAATAAAATTGTGAATGTGTATTCATATTTTGTTTTGCAAGGGATTACTGTAAATGTTATTCAATAGAAAAACACTTGTTGCTTTTTTTAAATCAAAAGGATGTCTGATTTTGAGTAATCATTGAATCCAGATTTGGATAGTTATATGAACTGAAAATATGGGGCAACAATGAGAGCTTATCATGGGATTTGTAATATATGAGAAACGTGCCTGTAACATACATGAATCATGATAAATATGCCACTCTATTAATTAATTCTTTTCAGGACATTCTTATTTGCAGCGACAATCTTCTTTCCATTATATTATATTTAGTTCTAATCAATTAAGGTAACATTACTGACTGTAAGGCAACATAAAGCCGACCCAGGTCTTTATGCTTGATATATCATTAAATTTCTCATTTGAAGTTAACAGTTGTAAGTTAAACCACAATCTGCATGTCAACAAGACCATCTAGTTGCACGCTACATGAGTTTTAACATTAATCCAGGAGAAAATGTTTAATAAGTTAAGAAGTATTTTCTGAAAAATATAAATTGAGATAACAGATCAAATATAGAAAATATTGAAGATTTGAGATGCAAAAATATCCACATTCGTTAAAATTGAAAAAAATGGGACGTCCCCTTTTCAACTTTTTAAGTGACCTTAAAAATAAATGGATTATCTTCAAATAAAATTTGATATGTTTGACCTGAAGCTTTTTCTTCTTCAGATCTTCAACCAAATTGTATCAGTTAAAGTCCAAAATATCTCCCCTTAAATCAATTTCAAAGAATTAATGCAACTTGAAAAAATTGCAGCATGATCTATGGTTGTGACAAATTGACCAAAGCAGAAATATAGAACTGGTGAAAATATTTAACTTCCATGACTTTGTAGGTTCAAAATTGTTTTTAATTTTTATCACATAATCAATTCATAGATCTATATGAATCAAATAGAGCATACGTTCTGTTTGTTGAACAATCATTCGATTTTACCCAGCCAGCCTTAGTGCACAATCATAACATAGTAAACAGGATATGCTAAAATAAGAAACACTTCCCTCAAAGCCGCTGTCAAGTTACATTAATCTCCCCATAAAAGGCTTAGATCAAAAATACTTCGCAATGAAAATTGACAATTAATAAAGGAATGCCTAGAGAAGAAAGAAATAAAGAAAGCAATTCATCAAATCAAACGCTCTAGGGTATAGTCAGATATGAGACCGAAGATGAATACCTTTAGTGTTCTAATTGATATTATTATCTTTTCTCTCAATTTTTCATTTGCAATTTTCTGAGATAACACACTTTTTAACAAAAGGCAAGTAATAAAAATGTATGTTTAGCGATATCTGATTTTGTGAAATGATGATGATTTTTGTCATATACAGTAGCTTTAAAAGCCTAATTATGTTCACTACATGCAGTTAGAATCATTCTTCACAAAACAACATATTCAATTAAAGTAAAGATCGATCTATATTGCATTAAGACTATTTTCAGATTTTCTTAACTTCTTTTAATTTGAAATTAATGGGCAAGTATATCTTTACCAAAATGTTAGATTTTTATCCAAAAGGAATTACAAAGAATGGAGAGTGTTAAATATTGATGTAATCTTTTCAAAAAGCATGCCAATGTTTTTCTCACAATCTCTATTCATTTTCCCAAGAAAGAATTCAGATACCTGATCAAATAAAGAAGTCATTGAAGATTTAAGATGCAAAAATATCTAAATTCATTACAATTAAAAAAGAGGTGTTCTCCTTTTCAAATCATCACATAATCTTAACAATTAAAATTAATTATCCATCCTGAAATAGTCAGAACTGTTGGTCTATTAGAAAATAACATTACATGGGATAATGAGAAAAAATGTGACAGTTTGTTTTCAAACTTTCCCTCAACTTCTTTCTGGTTCCTTTAACTGAATGGTTCAAAATGAACCTTCATGTAGCTGTCACTTTATGTTCAGGTTTTTTGTACAACTTGATTTGAAATCAGTCATTCTGACATTTTCTCCTTTAGTAGCCGAAGATAAATATATTCCAATTATGTTATTCAACTACAGTTCCCCAGCTCAATGATAAAACAAATAATATTTATTAATGCTGAATGTTAACATTGGGGAATGTCAAATTAAATTCCCTCACCACAAACTACGATTTTAAATCCTTTGAAGTAACTTTGATGCAAAAGTCATTGCTTAGATATGTGTGTTTACGGGCATTAAGACTGACATAAGACTTATGAGTAATACTTAAAACAATAGCCTAGCAGCCATTATTAGTCTCAAACCAATTACCAACAAACACTAATCTCATAGACTAGTCGCAAATCAGAAGTAGCGAAATATCTCCAGGGTAACAGTTCAATCTGGCTAATTTTTCATCTTGGAAAAATTGCTGTTCCACTATACTAATGACAACTTGTCAATGGTCAAATTATTGGTCGATAGTTTGCTCTGACAATATCTATTCACTATGTACACGCTTTCATAGAGAGATAACAGATTCATCTTCCCAATCTCCAATCAATTCATCATGTGTAATCATGTCTCATTCCTTCTCTCTGCGGACTCAAGGAATTCGAGCTTCTTCACTTTCAGCTTGATCACAGTAAATATTGTCATATCAAAGTGATTGATTAAAGGAAGGCAATTAATTATGTTCAATATTTTTCATGAAGGTTTTTTTCTATCCACTGAATTGACACTACTCTGTGACATCACATGATCTCAACACACAGACATACACAACACACAAAGAAAAATACACGAATAAATACAAAATCACATGTACAGACATTTCGTTAGATGCCTGCTCTCCTACACATAAGCAAAACCATAAAGAAAATCATCATATTAACAAGAGACAATATAAGTATGAAGCACAAAAGTCAGATCCTGACAGTTGATAAGTAGAAATTCACACAGTTCACACCTCCCGATGTAAACCTATGAAACACTGATTGCAAGCTTCCACTATCTGATAATCCCTCTAACTATAATGCACTTTAAAGCTCTTATTAGCTTAAAATACAAGACCTGTGTGCTGATGGGGGATGCGGTTGCATGAGGTGATCGGATGTGTGTACTAATTACTTGTCAACCTGTCTATAAAATAGCTCTTCCTCTCTAAACACTGCAAGAACATTTCAATAACTATCTTGTGTTGAAAGAAGATATGGATTACACCTGATTTGTTTGATCAGCTCGGTGTTAACTATCTGACATTTTAAATTGCAAATCCAGTGCAATATAATGCAACACAACCCATATGCAACCAATTTATGTATTGTGTAAATTAGATGTTTCACTAAACCACTTTTTGGCAGGAATAATGCACTAAATGATACTAAATATATTTGTTTCATGTGAAATTTATATTCAATCCTAATCAAATGAATAATTTAAAGGATATTTACCATTTCTTTATATGAAACAGTGTTATAGACTCATACATCACACCTTTAATAGTTGCTATCATTAAATATAACCCTCACATATCACATCAGACAACGATTCATCTCAATCATGTTAAACAAAATTGTAATAATAGTGGCCTTATTACAGCTCAAAATCAGACAATGATTAATGAGACATTTAAGGAAATTAAACACTTAATTTTGAAACAGGAGTGACAAGCTTGAATTATATAAACTGCTTTGCAGACATTTGTAGTTACCATGGTAACATAAGCAGGAATCACCTTTGATTATTCTAATCTATAACGAGAAGCTGATCTTAACATCATATGAATTCCTATAGTGCACCTTGTTTTATTGTATTTTAAAATATGAAATCCAAATGCATGGACAATGATAAGTTGCAGATCTGGGAGAGTGGTAACCCACGCCATCCTCTTATGTGAATTTTCTGTCTGTTTATACTCTGTACAGATAATATGGATTGCCTTACATGTGAGTATCTAACATGCGTGATATTAACTTTACCTTCAGGTGACAATAGTGTTCATCACTATAATACGTACTGAACTATATAATAGCAATATAAGGTGAGAGGAGTTGTGACGCTGAGAGTAAAGTTGACACAATTTCAAAATATGACACAATTTTATTTATTTTGATTTTCCAACATTTCTTATCATATTTTTTTACATTGGAAGGTGTGATCCATGTTTCTTTCAAAATATGACGCAATTTCATACCAGTTTTTATCTTTCTTTTACGTTGGAAAGAGTGCTCCATATTTATTTCAAAATATTACATACATAGTTTTATCTGTTTTGGGTTTCCACTCATCTTCGCACGCTCGGTCTTCAATGCGTTTATCGACCGATGGGAGCCGAGTGAACGAAGATGGTTTCCACAAGGTTTATCATATTTCTTCTATATTGGAAGGTCTGATCTATTTATTGACAGCATATATCAACTGTCAGATTGTGACTCTTTAGAAGATGTTAACAGTGTTAAATGCTAATAGTATGACAAGAATAATATTTGACTAGACAGTGAAAGGCTGAGATGACATGAGATTGAGATGACCTTGAACTTGAAATGACCTGATAATGACATGGAATTTGATTTATTGTGGTATACTTTATTCTGATCCATTTATCAGTGTATCTCTTTATCTAAAGTTCTTTTCCGAGGGAGAGTAGAGACTGTGAATTCCACAATGTGGTCACTTGTGTACCAAAATATTCCCATTTAAACATATACTGATTACCTATATATGATGAAAAATCATTACCTATATCATCAGCTAGATCTGGGTCAACATTATTCTTGACTAACAGACGTATCATGTCATTACAGCGAAGCTCAGCAGCGTAACTTAGTGCTGTACGTCCCTTGTCATCTTGTATGTTAACATCAGACCCACGTTCAATCAAGAGCTCAATCGCCTTACATCGTGTCTTCTCTTCCTGGAAAATATAAAGCTAACTGTCAGTCTATGTCAAGATTAAAATGAATTAAAAGTGATATAAATGGAAATATGATTATGTATATTGAATTAACATGAATTTTCATGAGATAATAAAATATATACAAATATATACATACAAATATACTAATTAACAGTGTAATTACATAAAATATCACACAACACACTTGAATCTGTCACAATACATACATATCAATAAAAATACAACACCATAACAGACATTTTAACAAATACATTGACCCATGTAACCCAAAAAATGTTTGGCACAATTTATGATATAAAATATATGGAATAATGTATGGTACAAAAATGAATGCACCAATTTATGGAACAAAATGTGTGGAACAATGTATGACACAAATGTATGGAACAATGTATGACAAAAATATATGGAACAATGTATGACACAAAATATATGGAACGATGTATGACACAAATGTATGGAACAATGTATATGACAAAAATGTATGGAACTATGTCTGGTACGAAAATGTGTGGAACAATATATGACAAAAATATATGGAACAATGTATGACAAAAATGTATGGAACAATGTATGGTACAAAAATGTGTGGAACAATGTATGACAAAGATGTATGGAACAATGTATGACAAAGATGTATGGAACAATGTATGATACAAATGTATGGAACAATGTATGACAAAAATATATGGAACAATGTATGACAAAAATGTATGGAACAATGTATGATACAAATGTATGGAACAATGTATGACAAAAAATATATGGAACGATGTATGACACAAATGTATGGAACAATGTATACGACAAAAATGTATGGAACTATGTCTGGTACGAAAATGTGTGGAACAATATATGACAAAAATATATGGAACAATGTATGACAAAAATGTATGGAACAATGTATGGTACAAAAATGTGTGGAACAATGTATGACGAAAAATATATGGAACAATGTATGACAAAAATGTATGGACAATGTATGGTACAAAAATGTGTGGAACAATGTATGACAAAAATATATGGAACAATGTATGACAAAAATGTATGGAACAATGTATGGTACAAAAATGTGTGGAACAATGTATGACAAAGATGTATGGAACAATGTATGACAAAGATGTATGGAACAATGTATATGACAAAAATGTATGGAACAATTTATGACAAAAATGTATGGAACATTGTATGGTACAAAAATGTGTGGAACAATGTATGACACAAATGTATGGAACAATATATGACAAAAATATATGGAACAATATATGACAAAAATGTATGGAACAATGTATGGTACAAAAATGTGTGGAACAATGTATGACGAAAAATATATGGAACAATGTATGACAAAGATGTATGGAACAATGTATGACAAAGATGTATGGAACAATGTATGACAAAAATGTGTGGAACAATGTATGACGAAAAATATATGGAACAATGTATGGTACAAAAATGTGTGGAACAATGTATGACGAAAAATATATGGAACAATGTATGACAAAGATGTATGGAACAATGTATGACAAAGATGTATGGAACAATGTATGACAAAAATGTATGGAACAATGTATGGTACAAAAATGTGTGGAACAATGTATGACGAAAAATATATGGAACAATGTATGATACAAATGTATGGAACAATGGATGACAAAAATGTATGGCAAAATATGTGACACAATAATGTACAAATTAATAATGTACAGATTAATTTGTGCTGCAAAATATTTGATAAATGATCAATGATTATCTAGTAAACCTGGAATTAAAGTGTTCAAACAGTTTTAAGCTGTTCACATACACAACTCTTTTGCAAATACTGAGCTCTAATTGAAACATGCCTCAGATAACCATTAGTTTCTTTTAATTCAGTTATCAAGTAGTGAATGGTGACACAAAACATGTAAGAAGAGATTTAATCACTTATAATCAAATAACTTTATTAAAACACATTCTGAAGAAAAACAAAGGATTGCAGGGGTTTCATTATAGCAGCAGGCAACAGGCAATTTTCACTGGTTGTTTTCAAAAAATCGCTTGTTGTTTTTCAGGGATTTTTCAACTTTTCCATGTTAAATTTATGATTTCCATTAATTTTGCCTGTTGTTTTCATTCAAATCCTGTTGTGGGAAATTCTAGTGAAACCCCTGCATTGCCAATACAGAACAATTCCTAGGAAAAGGATTCAAACTCACTCCCCCATTGAGAGGTGTAGATCAATTTGGTAATAATATATCACAGACTAGAACTGCCAATGGAGTTTGACTATAGTTTTATTAAACATCGTTGTCATGATGCTATGCTACAATACATTGAAGACAGTGGTGGGGGTTGGAAGGTCAATAAAGTGGACAAGTTGACTATAGCCATAATACTTGTATATAAAGTTAAGTCCATCTCCCGACTGATGAACATTATAGAAATAGTGCCAGGCAATTGAGGATCGGTTGGAATCATGGCTGCTAGTCCCCCTTGACATTGCATATGGAAATGTGGTCATCATGACAACTGTTTTGTGATTCCCAAAGGACAAGGTCATGTTCAAAGGCGATGTTGATGGTGGAACTTCTCTTAAAGGTGGTACTTAATTCAATGCCACTTTCATCAGTATTTGGTGCCAAACATAATAAGAATTCTTGTATGGGATCAACATTTTAGTTCTAAATATAAGAGATTATGCTGAAAATGCTGCTGGTGTCCAAAAGTATGTTGGTTAATGAGATCCATGTAATACCAACTAACCTCTACTCCCATAGAGGTGAAACACTAATGGTCATTAGTCACAATGGAATTATATGCCCATAACTATAAGTGAAGTATGCAGAGGTTTATTAATAACACTACAAATTAATGTACCAGGTAACTGTACTTATTAGATATTGTGGTTGCAAGGATATAGACTGATTATCACTTGAAGATATATTTGATATGTGGATCAAGATATCATATTTTAGCAAAAATTCCTTCTTAAAAAGTGATATTCGATGGTTTCAGAATTTATTTTGATGGTTTCAATTTTTTTTAATCTTTTTTTATTAATTCTGCAAAACGATTTTTTCAAAATGTTCATTTTTTCATATTCAATGTCCCCTTGTAAATCATTTCCCAAAGACAAACCCATGGGATTAACCTGTAATAGATTTGCAACTGAATCAATAGACTTTGATATTGACCCATTTATTTTCTATAAATATCAAAGGTTGAAAAAGTTGATAATCTTAAAGCAATTCTAATTCCTTTTAAAAATCTACAAGAGCCATCAATGCATCTACATTTGGTACTTGGTATTTGCATGTGTTATTCAAGCGTTGATAATTTCTCAAAAGCCGTTTTGTAACATGATCCATTGAAAGTGAAGGTTACTAATCAGCATGCTTTAATGTTTTTGGAGTTATTAAGAGGCTTAATCACTTTAAATCGGACAAACAATGTTTACCTTGTAAACAATTAGAAGATGGTAAACAATGTGAAGAAGTTCTCTCAATCAATCAATGAATTAATCTGAGATTCGTTTTGAGACAAATAAGAATTAAAGATATTGAAAGCCCATGTACGAGGGGTGATCAAGAATTTCTGGACCGTTGGCTCTATTTTTGCCATTTTTTATTCTTTCTTAATGATTTTTTCACACAATGTAACCCAAATATATAGGATCACACCATGACGATTTCTTTGTTCTTTGACATCATTATCCTATTTTTTTTGTTTTGTTACCATGGTAACTGGTGACGCAATAAGGTGGAGCTCGTTATTATGTACTTTGATTTGCCATAAAGAAAACCATGAAACTTCAAATAGATTGTAGTTTTAGCTTTTTCGATCTGAATTTAAATTGAATAACAGGTAATTTTAAATCAACTTAACTGAATGACAGGTGCCCCCATTATGGTCTTCCAAAAATGACTTCAGCACACTATTCGTAAGGAGAGGGGTATGGAGTTCTTCAAGAGATTTCGTTTACACAATGATAACGCACCACTCCCAGAGCAAGCCTCACACAAAATGAGTTTGATTCCATCTGTTTTGGCCGTGTACCACACGCATCGTATTCCCCAGACTTAGCTGGCTTTGATATTTATCTTTTCCCCACAGTGAAGAACAAATTACAAGGTATCAACTTTGAGGACAGTAATAAGATCATTTGGAAATTCACACGCCAATGTTACAAAGTAGGCATAGACGGCCTGTATCACATCTTTCAGGACTGGGTGAAAAGGCATAACAAATGCTTACAAAATGCTTCTTTGAAGGATTAGAATTAATGGAAGAATAATTACAGTTACTATGAACATTAACGCATAAACTTAATGAAATAATACAACCTATTACAGTATGTCACATATTCAGCAATGAATACAGTGTCCAAACATCATATGAAATTACTGTTGATTTTTCAAATTTGGTACTTTTTCTGAGCTCCACCTCATCGCGTCAACGATTACCATGGTAACAAAAATAATAGGATAATGATGTCATAGAACAATGAAATCTTCATGGTATGATCCTATACATTTAGGTTATACTGTGTGAAAAAATCACTAAGAAAGGATAAAAATGGCAAAAATAGAGCCAACAGTCCAGAAATTCCTGATCACCCCTCGTACATTCAAAATGTCTTTTAAGAAAACATATGACAATCAAATGAAGACACGTGAAAAAGAAAGATATATTTATCAGACAGAACATAATAGAAGACGTAAGAAAACGATAAAAATGTAACTCCATTACAGTCTATGTTGATACACGGCTATATTTACACATCTATGACGCAGATTATAAAAAATGATGAATAATCACAGAAACATGAAGCATACAAGATAAACTTTTTAATAAGAACAACTGAAGTTTATAAATGTCTTAGAGATTCTATACTTTATTAGATAATGCTAAGTGCTGCTTATGAAGATACACAGTATTGTAGAACCTAATTTTTTGTTTCTTAATTAATAAGACATGTTAATAGATCCACCATGTCCTTATCACATCCTTATATC